GCATGGGTAGGAGGGCTCGAGCCCTAGATCCGCCTCTACCTCTTTGTCTATTTAGGACTAGCTTGATGCTTGTAATAAACATTTAAAATTCTGCCCTCTCATGTATCCATGAATGTTCATTTAATTATGTGAGTGATAGATAAGTGTGTTGTTCCTAAGTTTGTTGAGACGCATATCGAGAACTGATGGAACTATTCCGCATAAAATCGAGTCGGTCAGGGAATAATAATCTAATTTTTAATCAGAGAAATTTGAATGGTTTCTCAATGCTCTACTTCACCGGCTCAATCTTCGTCCACACAACTGCATGGAAGCATATGTCTCTCCATCTTCTTCTAGCACAACATCTCAAGGAACCGATTAAGGTGCTCTTTGGAGGGCTTCTAGAAGGGCTTCACCTGTAGCTTTTGTAGCTTAGGGGAGCCATATCAAGCATTCACATGCGAAAACGGATTGTGAAGCCAAAATCAAGCAAAAAGTGATGTAGCCGAAGCCGTTTTGGCCTATAAACCAAAACTGCAAAAATATGATTTTTTTCTGACTTCAACATTTTTTGAGAAGCCAAAACCCTGTCAAAAACAACCTTAGAGCCGCAGTGGCACTGTAGCAGCAGCAAGAGCTGGCTGCTGCTTTAGTGGAGCCAAACGTATCTTGTAAAGATTTAAGTCTATATTATTGATTTCGATTAATTTGAATTTGTATATATTTAAGTACAACTCTTTGTTTTTTTTCAACGTTTTTTAACATTAGACGGTATCTTTTACAGAAATGCTATACAACACATATGTGTTTTAGCGAAAAAAACACATGGATTTTTTCTCTCTTTCTCTCCCTTCTGCTACCACTCCGTGTTGACGCACGCACGCGTTCGTTCTTTGGCGCACGCGTTCTCTGACTACGTAGTTTGTTCGTTCGTTCTCTGACGCACGCGTGCTCGTGAGCCGGCTCTAGTAGGCCTCTCATCCTTCTCTGCTGTGATTTATCCTTCTATAGAAAAAAATTATTTTTTGTGATCTGTGGATGTGTGATCTTATGATTTGTGATTGTTTGGAGATAGAAGAAGGCTAGAGGTAGAAGAAGGGTGGAGCCTGTTGGATCTTAATTCTATGGTATAAAAAAATTTATGTGTTAAAACTACATAAAATACATGGTCGTTGAGTAGACAGACTCATTTTTTAACATTAGATTGTATGGTATTGTGAGGTTGTAGCATTGGGATACTAAAATCTATGTAGGATCATACGAAACCTTCGTATAGATCGTGATATTATAAAAATTAGAATATACGGTATGATCGATATAGTTTTAGCTCGATATCCCTTCATTCTAAATTATAAGTAGTTCTTTCTTTTCTCGATATATAATTTATAAGCTGTTTATATAGTTTTTACTCTGTAGCCAGATATCATGTATGAACAGTAGTGTCCTACCATTCCACGAGGGGGATCCAGATACAAGCTTTTGTTGCAGACGATCACCACTCATCGGTCACCATTGACCTTTTTTTTTTTCGAGTTTCCCACCCCCACTCGTCCGCTTCGTCTTCACTTGGCCTCGGTTGTTCAGTATCTGTGAGCTGTAACGAACACCCACACCCGCCATTTGCACGGAGCGACGTCGGTGCAGCCGCTGAGACGCGCAGGTATGACTGTGCGAGAGAGACCATGGTCCGCTTATCCCGCATCACCTGCTCCTCGGCGGCGGCTCCTCCTCCTTCGATGACGACGAGGTTGGCGAGGAGATCGAGTCGGTGCCCCCGCTCAGCGTCGGCGAGGAGCGCAGCATTAGCTCGTCGGGGATCCGCAAGCGCCTCCTACGCGCCGGCCAGGGATGGGCCACTCCCTTGCCTCCCGACGAGGTCTCAGGTTTCCCCCCTCCCCTACTCTCGTCCCATTACTCCTATACCCACAACACATCGATTTGTTCGCCGCTTCGTTCCATCCTGATTTGGACTTGGTTTTGCAGTGCATTACGTTGGGTCGCTCCCCGACGGCACGCTGTTTGCGTCGACGAGGGAATGAGAGCCCCGCACGATCAATCTTGGCAGTGGTAAGGATTCGCTTTCGATTGTCAATGCCAATTTTGACATTCCATTGCTCATATCCAGTTTAATCAAGTAAATGTTGATGCTCTGCTAGTCTTGTTTGCACGACCGCCTCATCTGTGGAACCTCGGGAAGTAGTCACGCTTACACTACAACATGATAAAGTTTTTGAGACGTTTGGGTTTTTTAAACTTCTGTTTCCCAAATAATGGAATCACGGCAGACTTGTACAATGTACTACTGTACTGATACAAATCTTCTTTTATCTTAAATGCTGACAAGCCCACAACCATCTTAAGATTTGTTTTAGAAAAAATAGGAATTATTTCGGACAATCTCAACATTTATCTGTGAAGCAAGCAGCTAAAAGTTTTACTTATGTCCCATGATTTATATCCGTGGCAGGAAATTGCCTCATACCGTCGCTGTTACTTTCACGGCTGCAAAGCCATGGAAAATGGGGGCTTCGGAGATGAGCCTTTGTGTAGTAGTGGTATTAGATTTAGACGTACTAATAAGGGTGTGGACTTTTTGTATCTTTATCTGTTGATGTTGTATTTGTTCTCTTCATAATATAACAGCGGATAAACAACATGCACTGTTCTATGAGTAAAAGTGAAAATTTCATGATTTTGTCTCGTTTTTTGTTTCATGAACATGTAGCCTGAACTCTTCTCCTTTTGTTTTAATAAAATCTACAGTAGGGGGTAACCCTTCATATTTCCATAAAAGAAAGTGAAATTTGCATCCAAGCTAACTGGATTTGAACACTGATGAATTATACCGTTGTAACTTGTTAGTAATGTTTGAATATTAAGGTTTCGTTTTCTACATGTTGTAAAACACATCGCCATGGGTTAGGACAGGACTTTCCCTCTCCGCCTCTCATGATCAACACGGTAGATAAAAGTAGAAGAACAAAGAGACACAAAGTAGGGGAACTATTCTTTATTCTCTGAATATTCCCCCAAAAAAAAAAAATAGATGTTCATGATACTTGGTTGTCCACACTTAAATAATTTTGTTGCGTTAGAGAAAGGCAGAGGCCTGCTGTTTGTTTCCGGTCATGTAGTGTTTGTATGAACTGGTAGATCACTTGCATTTGTGCTTGGATTATTGAAGCTGATTGATTGTTTCCGATATTTCCAGCTAACTGTGATCCTGAATTCTGATACCTATTAATTGATTAATTACAGGTGGACCCAGTTGTTTGTTATAAATCACTTCTCGCTATTCCTATTTTGTCGTATTTTCACTGCTGTTTATTTTCTGAGATAAGATTTTCCTCATGATTTAATCTGGATCTTACTCTATTTCCTCAATAAGGTGATGTGGTAGCTGGTCTAGAGCGTGGAATCTGTACAATGAAGAAAGGAGAGAAAGCTCTATTTATGCTTCCTCCTTTGGCTTATGAAGATTCTAGTGCTCCAGGTGTTCCTACTGGTTCTGAGCTACATTTTGAGGTAGAGCTATTATCATGGTTAACAGTGGTGGATATATATAGAAATGGTGGAATTGTAAAGAAAGTTTTGTCTGGAGGGAACAGGCAAACAGGGGATCTTGATGAAGTTACAGATAAACACTCCATGACAAATAGTCTTACTCCTTACTGTTTCTTGTATTTGAATACCAATGCTTAACTGGTATCCTGTAATCTTTTATGACGGTTGTTCATGTATTTATATAGTCAAGTACAAAGTCAAGCTACTTGATGAGTCGATAGTTGAGGAATCTCCAGAAGAAGGATCAACATTCTTTGTTAATCAAGGTAATTGCACCATAACAAATTCAGATGATTAATTGTTATGGAGCTCTTCTCTGTAACATTCATAATGTTCTTCTGAAGTCTGAAAGCAGCCTATATTGGATGGGAAATATGTTTCAATGATGTGGCTGTGAGAGATTGAATCAATTTTGTGTTCTTTCAGGTCACGTCTGTCCAGCACTACCTATAAGGTCCTGAAAACAATGAAGGAAGGCGAGAGAGCTGTTGTGATGGTGCAATCACAATGTATGTCTCACTGAATAGATTTGTATTAAAAAGGAGCTGCATTAACTCAGTCCACGCTGATGCTTGAGATTATTTCCATAATTATCTGGGATGGGAGTAGCATATCAATAAATATGAGGCATCTACACATGTCATGTAATTAAGTAACATTTAACTTTTTGTTCCGTATCTTTTGTATTTTTTTGTTTTATCTGTGAAGATACTAGTGTTGCAGTCTACCTCACTCAACCTATTAACCAACATGTATATTATCCTAATAATTACTAGATTCAACAAAACCAGCCTTCAGTATCATGCATATAGAACAGCAATGCCCTAGTACTGTACAAAATACAAATCAGTTTTAGTGCTTGCAAACTAAACAATTATAGTGCAAATCGAAGACGATAAAACTTTATTCAAGCATCGTTTCCACGATTCAAATTACGCCATATCGGAACACCATATGCTGAGACTATGAGTACTCCCTCCGTCCCAGAATAATTGCATTTCTGGGACTGGGCACGGAAACCAACACTGCATGTCAAATTACGAAAATGCCCTTGCAGGGAGACGTCGGGTGCGTCGACGACACACGAGTACGACTGAAGGATCGCGTGAACGAGTGAACAGGACCTTCTGGAGCCTCCCACGCTTTCTTCCTTTGTTTCATATTTTATTGGGCCCACACGCTGGGCAAACGTTGCAGCGCTGCAACGTGTATGGAGGTGCAGATGCAGTAACCTGTGGCTGCTCAGTCTGTCACGTCGATGGGATAGCTGGCCTGTTGCCGTATGTGAAGGTGTTCGATTATTTCGGAAAAAAATTTGAATGCTAGACGTGTGATTATTCCAGGACGGAGGGAGTATGTGGTTCTACCAGAAGACCCTGAGCTTTTCTTTGAGAGTTTTCTTCACTATGTCGCCAACAGCAATCGATCAGGAACACATGAGCACGAAAAAAACTTTAGTCGAACACCTCTAACGCCTCATACTCCGGGCCAGAGATGGCATCTGCCACGACGGCGGCCGGCGTTAGCTCGCCATCCGCCTCCAGGAAGAGTCTCACCAGGTTCTTGGAGTAGCCGCTCACCAGGGCCGTGCCCTCTTGCGCTGCCACCACCGGCGTGGAGGCCTTGGAGGTCCCCACGTTCCAGAACACCACCTGCGGCGCCGTGAACCCCTCGGCTGCGAACTTGTCGCAGATGCCCTGGTACTCTGTCTTCCACAGGGACGCGGTGCCCGTCCACCCGTCGAAGTCCATGTCGCTCAGCACAAACACCCTCTTCACCATCATGTCCCTGCACAGCCCGCCGGCCACCGCCAGCTGCAGGATCTTGCTAAACACGCCCTGCAGGTTCGCGCCCTTCTTATGCTTCCCCATGGACTCCACCAGCGGCCGCAGCTTCTCCTTGAGGCTCGTGCCGAGCACCTTGTGCAGCTGGCGCGTCTCGTTGAAGGTGATCACGCGCCCCTTCCACGGCTCCTGGCTCAGCTCAGAGATGAGGAGCCCCAGTGCGATGGCTGCAGAGGCCGCTGTGTCCGTGGCGGCCAAGGTGGCGCCGGAGAGCCCGCACACCGCTATGCAGTTTGCCAGGCGCCCCTCAGCGGCTAGAGAGGCCGCCATGCGACGCCACTGGAGCTCGGCAGCCTCGTCGTGCTCCCCCTTAAGCGCTGCGGCAATCAACTCGTGTGGCAGCACCGCGTCCGCCGGCATCCTGGCGAGACCGGTGCGCACCTCGTCGAAGAAGCCGGCCACCCGGTGCTTGTCGTGCTTCTGGAACACCTCCTTGTACTTGTTCATCGCCAAGGACGCCACCCGCGCGTACGGCAGCTCTTCAAACTTGCACGCGCACATGTACACCTCCGGGAGCTCCAGGGCCTTGCGCAGTGGCACCAGAACCTCGCGGCGGAGCCGGTCACGGACGCGGTAGGCATAGTGCTTGTCCGAGATGTTGAGGTACTCCTGGCTGGACTCGCGCGGGAATATGCGGCGGGCTATGGCCTCGCAGAGCAGGGTCGCACGGTCGTAGGACGAGCGGAGCGACGGGCACCATTTGGCCGCGAGCCCGATCTTGGTGGTGTCGCCCACGCGCAGGTGCTCGACGTCGGACTTCAGCATCTCGGCGAACATCTCAGTCACGCCATCGTAGAGGAAGCGGAAAGCCTCGTCGGACTCGTAGCGCGAGAGCGCCGACCGCGCGAGCTGCGCCTCCTCCTGGCGCTTCGTCTCCTTGGCAGCCTGAAACTCGCGATCGCTGCGCCGGCGCTTCATGCCGTGGCGGTGTACGTTCTGCTGCTTGCGACGGTCGCCGTCGTCGCCGCCCTTGCGGTCGCCGTGGAGTACGCGGTAGAGGATCTCGGGCAGGTCCTTGAGGCAGCCGAACCTGGCGAAGATGGCCAGGTTCCCGGCGAGCGTCTTGGGATGGCGCGCGTGCATCCAGAGCGCGGCAGCGTAGAAGCCCTCCCTATCGCCCTTGCCCAGGCCGCGCACGCCGCGGAGGTGGCAGACGAGCCTGAGCGCGGTGCGCGCGTCCCGAGACCAGGCGACGTCGAGGAGTGCCGCCAGGTGAGCGGCCGAGGTGGCGCCAGGGACGATCTGGAAGAAGAAGTCGACGCACGGGTCGCCGGACGAGGCGTAGGCCAGCGCCCGACCAGACCGCGACGCCTCCTTGGCCACGCCGCCGTACGGCGCCACGGATGAGTCATCGGAGTCGGAGGATGACGACGCCTTGCTGGTGGGCCGGGAATCTGCAGCAGCAGCGATGTTGGTGTTGAGGGCGGCCACGGGAGGGCCGAGGAGCGCTGTGGAGGTGGGCGGGGCCATGGCGGAGGCGGCGCTCGAGGTGTTTTGGGTACGCGTGAGATACTGAGATGAATGAAGGGGAGATGAGGCGAGATTGGTGCGTGCGCGGATTTTGCTGGGACGGCGACGAAGATTTTATTGGTGGGAGCCTGGAGGCCGGACTGCGAAGGCGGTGGCGGTTTCCTAATCGCTTGCTGACGTGTGCCGCCAGGTAATGAATCTGAACCCTCTGCTTGTTACGTCGGTTCAATCAACGGTCACAATGCACGCTACCCAACCGACTAACTGGAGTTGCGCCTACGGGTTCTGGTGGGCCACGTCGCATGGTGCAAGGAAACGCGCCGGTGCCGCCGTCCGGTTCTATACAGCAGAGCGATCGAGTCTAGACCCCCGAATCCTCTCGAAGCAATCTCGTCGCCTTCCTTTGCTAGCTTTCTCCCCTAAAATCCTAGCAAAAACAGAAACAGATCAGATCCGGACCAATCGGATCGTTCACGCCATGGCCGCCGTCCTCCTCGGCCCTCCCGTCATCCGCGGGGCACGCCCGCCACAGCTGCGGAGTGATAGATAATGTAGGATCGACTAGCCATATATCTCTGGCGTGTACAACCTCTTCTATTTACGATAAGAGGAGAGAGTAAGAGATGAGATCACCACTAACAATCTTCCCTAGATCTCATCTTATTACTTAAAATTCAACTTACTTTATCTTTTTACATTCCATCACAAATCAGTGTATAGAGTGTGCTTTGTCGTCATAGTCAGTTGCCATTACATTAAACAGCTACAATGCACCTCTCTATTTTAAAACAGACTCTCAACTAGGTCCTTATTGTTAAGAAATCATAGGGTTTCTCTTAAACTTATGCCGGTTAAGTGTTCTCTGAACACGTTGGATAGTAAACCTTTTGTTAGTGGATCCACGAGCATCTTTTTTGTTCTTATATGCTCAAGACTAATTATATGATCCTAGACTTTATCTTTCACAATATAATACTTTATGTCAATGTGGTTGACAGCATCACTTGACTTATTGTTGTGAGCATAATATACTGCTGGATTATTATCGCAGTATAACTTGAGTGGTTTGTATATGTCGTCTACCACTTTCAACTCAGGCATGAATTTCTTCAGCCAATTCACCTGTCCTTTGGCCTCATAACATGCTACAAACTCGGCATATATTGTGGACGATGTAGTGACGGTTTGCTTTGAGCTTTTCCATGATATAGCTCCTCCTGCGAGAGTGAATATGTATCCTGACGTGGATTTTCTGTCATCTCTCGCATAATCAGAATCTATATACACCTCTATGTGCAGGAAATCAGATCTTCTGTACATTAGCATGAGACCCTTCGTACTTTGCTGGTAACGTAAAACTTTCTTTACTAATTTTCAGTGTTTTATTTCTGAATTACTCTGATATCTGCCAAGTAACCCGGTAACAAATGCTAAGTCAAGGTGAGTATACACTTGAGCATACTGTAAACTTTCAACGGCTGAACTATAAGGAACCGTTTTTATTTAATCGATCCCATATTGGTTCCTGGGACATTAAAATTTTCTATATCTGTCGCCCTTGACTATAGGAGCAGGTGAAGACTTACAATTTTGCATACTGTATTTTTTTAGAATTTTTTCTAAGTATGCCTTTTGCGATAATCTAAAACCTCCTTTTCTCTATCTCAGTGAATCTCTATTCCTATGACGAATGAAGCTTCACCGAGATTCTTCGTATCAAACTTCAAGGACAAGAACTTCTTTGTTTCTAGTAGTAGATTAACGTCACTGCTAGCGAGCAAGATGTCATCCACATACAAGACTAGAAAAATGTATTTCCTATTCTTGAACTTTGCATAAACGCAATTGTCCTCTATATTTTCTTGAAATCTAAACTTTCTTACTGTACTATCAAACTTCAAATACCATTGTATTGAAGCTTGTTTTAATCCGTAAATGGATTTTTCTTCAGGCAGCATCTCATACGTTCTTTTCCTTCCACAACAAAACCTTTCGGTTGTGCCATGTAAACATTTTCCTCTAGATCCTCATTTAGGAACGCCGTCTTTACATCCATCTGATGTAATTCTAAGTCGTAATGTGCTACAAGCGCCATTATTATTCTAAAAGAATCCTTACATGAGACTGGAGAAAATGTCTCATTGTAATCTACGCCTTCTCTTTGCGTGAAACCTTTCGCCACATGTCGCGCTTTAAACCTTTCTATATTCTCTTTGGAGTCATGTTTAGTTTTATAGACCCATTTACAACCTACTATTTTTGCTCCTTTAGAAATTGTTTCTAAGTTACAAGCACTGTTGGTTTTCATTGATTTCATTTCATCTTTCATGGCTTCAAGCCACTTGGATGAGTGAGCGTTTCTTATGGCTTCTTCAAATAAGGTGAGATCACCCTCTATTTGAAATTTCTCACATTCATAAACTTCGTAATTATCAAGAATGGCTAATCTCCTGACTCTTTGAGATGTTCTATGAGCCTCGTTAGATGACGCTTGTTCTATATGAGGCTGTTGTTGCTCTTTCTCATGTGTGACAACGGGTTCTTGGGGATCCTGAAGGATAGGTTTCTCATGTTCATTCATTGTTGTCATAGGAGAACTAACAACAGATGATGTTACTACAGTGTCTTGCAATCACAGTACAAAGAACAACATGTAGCATAAAGAATGGCTCCTAAACCATAGGAGTGGGGACATATATCCGCTTCTCTTTAAAACTATTTTCTCGTGCTACCATGCCTCCCCGATTATATTATCCTCCAATAAGACAAAGATGTCTTATTTCTACAAACTTCGCTTGTCTGTCAAGACAATAGAAGCGATAACCTTTGACTTTTCTCGGATAGCCAATGAAATGGCAACCCGACTGCCTTGGAGTCTAGCTTCTCTATGTTTGGGTTAAAACTTTTGCCTCAATGGATATAACCCCACACACGTAAATAGTTAAGTGGGGGTTCCTTTCCATCCCACAACTCATAATGACGTTTTAGGCACCGACTTGCTTGTCACTCGATTAAGAATATGAATGGCGGTTTTAACGCCTCTATCCATAAACTTATCAAGAAGATAGAGTAACTTATCATGCTTCTCACCATATCTATTAAGATACGGTTGCGTCTTTTGTTACTCCATTCTCACCGAGGCTCGCTCGGGGTAGAATCTTTGGGCTACTATGCCATTTCCTATAAGAACCTTACAAAGGGTCCAGAACTTGACCATATGGGGTGTGTCGACCGTAGTACTCTCCCCCACGGTCGGACCTTACTACCTTAATCTTTAAGTTATGCTGATTTTCTACTTCAGCCTTAAATATCTTAAATTTATCCAATGCTTCCAATCTTTCCTTAATTGGATAAATATAGCCAAAACGAGAATAGTCATCTGTGAATGTTATAAATGAATCATAACCATCCACACTATTCATAGGAAAAGGACCACAGATGTCTGTGTGAACTATTTCTAAAATTCCTACTCTTCGTTTGGCATATTTCTTTATTTTCTTAACGTACTTTTCTTTTATGCAATCAATGCATTGCTCTAGATCTAAAAATTCTAAAGACAGAAGAATTGATTTCTTAATCAATCGCTCTATTCTCCCCCTCGAAATATGGCCTAAACGACAGTGTCATAATTTTAAAGATACATCATGCACTCTCTTCCGCTTATTTGCTGCATTCATAGACGAAGAGGCATTCTCATTCTCAGTGCTTACATCATTCACATTCTCAGAAAGTGATAGTAAATAAAGCTTGTCTTGTCGGAAGGCAAGACCAACACATTTATTATTATAAACAATCTGATATTTGCCATTACCAAAATAACAATCATATCCATCGTCATCTAAACGTGAAACACTTATTAAGTTTCTTCGTAAAGAGGGTACATATAGAACATCCGAAAGCTTAAGTACAAAACCATCAACTAATTCTAGAGAGAGATCTCCAATGGCTTCAACTTCAGCTTCAACTCTATTTGCTACTTTAATTCTTCTTTCTCTTTTGCGGTGGTCCTTCTCGTATGGAATCTCTTTCTTCGTAAGGTTCTTCAGAACTCGACAGTCTTTCTAGTAATGTCCACGCTTCTTGCACCATTTGCACCGATCCTTGTCAACTTGTACATTGTTGTTTTCTGCTGGTGATCAATCTAAGCGGCTTTCCCATGAGGTTGGGCAATAAAATTCTTCCTTTTATTGTTCTTCACAAGGTTTGTAGAGTCACCCTGTAAGCTTTTAAGTCTCTCCTCCTCTTACACATATATTGCAATGAGCTTCTTAATGTCCCACTTATCGGGCTACATGTTGTAGTTAACAATAAAAATTTCATACTCTTTCGCCAAGGAAGCAAAAACTAAATGAATCAGGAACTCATCTTTGAGTCCTAAATCCATTGGCTTGAGCTTGGATGCCGTGTTGCTCATCTTCAATATGTGTTCTCTTATACCTCCACCAGAGTATTTCTCATTGAATAATTTCTTTATCAAGGTGCTTGCATAAGCCTTTAAAGAGCCAGTAAACTAACTCTCCACTTTCTTAAGATATTCGGTGGTGGTATCACAATCTGGGATTGATCCCCTTATAGCATATGAGATAGTGGACTTGGCCACCATCAAGCACTTGCGGTTTGAGATATCCCATTTCTTCCGATCATGATTGTATTTCATTCTAACTTCTGCATGATCTCGCTTTGAGCGAAGGAAATCAACATCGGTCTCATTTTCATCCTCACCGGGTCCTCTGCTCAATGAGGACACGGAGAGATAAGTGATAAGTCATTCTCGGACAGCGCAAGTGCGAGCCCATACTTCTCTCGCCATACTCTTTAGTTGCCCCCTTCAAGAGGCGAAATATGCGAGATAAATGCCATAGGATTGAGTCCTGAAAAACAGTGGCAGAGAAAGTGAAAAAACATAACATAATGATTGCATGCCTTAATTTAACGTCGGTCAAAATTAAAACATACAACTTCTTCTACATTAATTCTACATCACCGCTAAGTAAAAATAG